CAATGACAAATCCAATGGTTCATGGGCTTGCAAGAATTCCCTCAGAAGGGACCACTCTCTGGCCATAGTAAATAGCCCGTGGAGACAAGAAGCACTTGTCAGTGCTTGGTTTAGGGGAAGAGTTTTCAATGACTGAACCATAAAGACAACATAAACTACTGCTCCCAACTGTCTCCGAAAAACTCTTCAGAACAAATGGATTTTATACTATCTTCATATGTTACTAAGTTTTATATCAAATCAGAATTATAGAAAGTGACAGTCCTCAAATTCTGAATAGGACATGACTAAAAAGCTTCTTTTGAAATGCAGAAAATATGGGGCGCCTGGGTGGCTCAGTCGTTCAGCATCTGCCTTCAGCTCAGGTCATGATCCCAGGGTCCTGGGATGGAGCCCTGCATCTCCCTCCCACACTCCCCCTGCATGTGTTCCCTCTCTCTCTGTCAAATAAATTAAAAAAAAGATTAAAAAAATTTAAAAGGATAAAATAAAGACATTTTTGAAATGCAGAAAATAGGGGCGCCTGGGTGGCTCAGTCGTTAAGCGTCTGCCTTCAGCTTGGGTCATGATCCCAGGGTCCTGGGATCGAGCCCCACATCGGGCTCCCTGCTCTGCGGGAAGCCTACTTCTCCCTCTCCCACTACCCCTGCTTGTGTTCCCTCTCTCGCTGTGTCTCTCTCTGTCAAATAAATAAATAAAATCTTAAAAAAAAAAAAAAAAGAAATGCAGAAAATACTGTTTTCCATGCAAAAAGGGCAAAGTTTCTAGGTCAAGCCACCAATGATGATTTAATCAAGCCCATTGCTGATATCTGTCCCTTTACCTGGGCAAAGGACTGGCCAAAATATATTAATGGATCTTTCCACTCTTCTACCATCCCAAGGACCCCAGCTGTGCTGTGCACCTCATACAGCCCAAATTTCAGCCAGAGTGCCCTAAAGTCTGAAATAAAAGTGCCTACTAATCCCAGGCGAAGCTTCTACAACCTGAATGACTTTCCTTTGGCTTTCAGAGGAAAACAGCCATTACTTTCATTGACAAGCATTTTAATTGTCCCCAATATTTTATATATTTTCAAATGGCTGCTGGTTATCCACATGGATCTTCATGCCCTTTTCTCAGTATTAACTAAGTGAAGTAAAAGGTTCCAGGGGGGCGCCTGGGTGGCTCAGATGGTTGAGTGTCTGCCTTCGGCTCAGGTCACGATCCCAGAGTCCTGGGATTGAGTCCCGCATCGGGCTCCCTGCTAGGCGGGGAACCTGCTTCTCCCTCTGCCGCTGCCTCTCTCTATCTCTCTCTCTGACTCTCATGAATAAATAAATTAAAAAAAAAAAAAAAAGGTTCCAGGAGTGTGAGGGAAGGTATTTGGAGGCAAGGGAAGGAAAAGAGATAAAAGCTATTGATTGTTCACTACAGACACTATCACAGCTGGTTGCACATTTAATCATCATTATCCATTAATTTAGGTGAGGAAATAAGTCTGGGGAGGTTCAATAACTTGCTTAGGTCCCACAGCTTTAAGGGACAAAGCAGAGATCTAAACCAGGAATCCTCAATGTTTCCTCTAAGGGCACTGGGCATCTGCAATACCGAGCCCCTCCCTTTTCCTCCACCCCCCTATGAACTGCACTTTTCGAAAAACACAAAGTCTGTTTTTTCTATTTCTTTCCATAATGGCTCTCATGGCAGTAATAGCTGGGTATTTGGTGGTGACTGGGGGGAAGATAAAGGGGCAGGCAGGTGGTGATTGTGTGGGTAGGTTGTTTATACCCGTGGCTTATAGGCAAATAGTCTCATCACAGGTTTTGAAAGAAGTCATAATGACTGTAGGTGGGACAGGAAGACGAAAAGCACTTTTAAGTATTTTACGTACAAAAAGTGGCAGAAAAATTCATAGGAGGCATTACTGATTTTTCCAGGCTGTAACTAAAAGATCCTACGATTTACCTCTTTAGAATTCTACAGAAGAAAGATCTAATTTTCCCAGGGAGAAACTGAACCATTCTGACCTCCGGTCATGGCCACGATCCAAGCAGATTATATAAGCTATCTGGGAAACTGGAGAGCGTTCACATCTAACCTGGCAGTTAGGAAAGGACCATGTCTCATGGAATTATCCATGCTTAGCTACGCCCTGTGGCTCAAAACGTTTTGGGGACATAGTAATGTCAAGATAACCCCCTACTCTGTCATATTCTGTCATGTCTTGTAGCGTTAAATGATTTACCTCCGTTTTGTTTATATAATACTTACATATTCAGATACTCCAAAAGAATATGCAGTGAAAATAAAGTCTCCTTCTTAACCCTCCACCCCAGCTACACAGTGTCTTTTCTTAAAGACAATCACTGTTAGCAATTTTTTTCTTTTTTAAGATTTTTTTTTTAAAGTAGTTTCTACACCCAACGGGGGGCTCAAACTCACAACCCCGAGATCAAGAGCCATACTCTCCACCAACTGAGCTAGCCAGGTGCCCATTTTTGCCAGTTTCTTACCAGGGGTTTTAATACACAAGAATTAATCAAAATAGTAGTAGAGCACCATTTCACACTACTCTAACCAAGACAAGTATGCTTCCTGTTATGACATAAATGAAGTCTTCTTTTATCTTTAGCAATACTGAAAGAATCTACAAAAAAACTGAAAGACAGGGCTGTAAAAAGGGAACAAAGGGCCACTTGCAATAACCACGAGGATGGCTGCACATATTAGAAAGCACTAATTGATATTCTGAGGGCTTTCTTCCAACTTCCCCTCTTCTGAAAATAGTGTGCTTTCCTTTTAAAATCAATAATTCAATTATCTAAATTATAGCATAGGAATGAGGATGGCTGTCTCGACCCAGCACCCAGAATATTTTAGAGACTTTGATTCAACCTTTTTGGGAAGCCTGTGATGTATCCTAATAAGAAAATGCTATTTAATGTTCTCAAGACAGGTTACTAACGTGGAGGGCAATACAGCACAAGCTAGATCCCTATAATCCGAGGGCATCTGTTTTTTTTCTCCCTTTTAAGAACATGTGGGGATAATACTTTCTTCACCCAGATTCCCACAGGAGTCCTAGACTCAAGAGACGACTCCACTGTATGGATACCTTCACAAAATCGGCACTTGACGCCCATGAAGACACTGCTACTTCCCAGGCGGCATGTCCCCGCACACGGTTCCTAAGAGTTCCACAGACGCTCTGTCTTTGAAGATCCACGTGACTCTTGCAGCAGAACTAAAACAGGTAAGGAGGGGGCGCCTGGGTGGCTCAGTTGGTTAAGCGACTGCCTTCGGCTCAGGTCATGATCCTGGAGTCCCGGGATCGAGTCCCGCATCGGACTCCCTGCTCAGCAGGGAGTCTGCTTCTCCCTCTGACCTTCCTCTTTCTCATGCTGTCTCTCATTCTCTCTCTCTCAAATAAATAAATAAAATCTTAAAAAAAAAAAAAAACAGGTAAGGAGGGAGGGTAGGTGAATGTGTGTGTGTAGAGGTGCAGAGGGAGGGCCACTATCTCTTGAACGGTGATAAAGCAGAGATGGAGGAGGTGGTAAAAGTAGATGCTGACAGCTTAGCATCTCCAATGCTTTGTTGGCTCTGGAATTCTAGGCCCCTCATCCAATTCTTCAACTCCACTGGGCAATTCTGCACCAGCCAAGTAATCTCTTTGTGATTCTGCGTCAGCCTAGAAAATAGCTATGCTACTAACAGAGAGAGCAGTGACTCAGCAAAATGACTCTCAAGAATCCTCTTTTGTCACTTGTCAACCCTCTTGCCTTCTGACTCTGAAGGCAGAAAATCTGAACCCCCATCAGAGAAAAACCAAGACCCAGAGTTTTCTGTTGACTTCTAACCATGAGCCATGTTACATTAGCTAAAGAACCAAGCAGATAGAAAGACGCACCTAAAGGAAAACCTCAAACCTCCTCTCTAGCAGTTTTTGTGCACGCCCCTTCCCCTGAGCAAATGGTATTTATCTTCAAGCAGTTTCCCTTTGCCAACTTTATTTCAGACCTTATCTCCAATGACTAGCTACACAGCAGGGACAAGAGATAGCTCTGCGTCCATTTTCCTTTGCTGAGATCAAACTGCAAGTGTAATTATTCATGAATCCGATTATTTGCCTAATGTCTATCTCCCCAGCTAAAGGGCAAGCTCTATGAGGGTGAGGACCATGTCTGTCTCACTGAATGAGAACTGAATGAACCGTTTTTGAATGCATGGATTCATACATGATCCTAATTGCTCACGGATTCCACTAGAAGTTCATCCTAGTTGGGAGACATTGCTAGACAATGAGTTGGTCTTCCACTTCTGCACCCACTGAGCCATGTTGGAGCATTTCTTTCTTTCCTTCCTTCTTTCTTTAGATTTTATTTATTTGTCAGAGAAAGAGAGAGAGCGCGGCAGGCAGAGGGAGAAGCAGACTCCCCAACGAGCAGGGGGCCCGATGGGCCCGATGCAGGACTCGATCCCAGGACTCTGGGATCATGACCTGAGCTGAAGGCAGACGCTTAACGATTGAGCCACCCAGGCGTCCCCATGTTGGAGCATTTCTGAGACAATCAGTCCTCCAAGAGGATCTGATGAGGGAGAAAACAAGTAGAAAAGGCAGGTCTTGGGTTGTCTTACTTCAGAACACAGGGGAAGAACGCGGAGCCACACCCCCTCTAGCCAGCTTTTCCCTCTCCTGCCCTCACAGACCTGGCAGTTCAAAGATGGCTCCTGGGTTGCTGGGATTTCATCTTACCCTCAACTACTCTAAATTAATTAGAGCAAAGCCTAACTGGATAACCAGAGGCCAAGTCCTGTAGCTGTTCGCATTCATTTGTCTTTTTTCCGGACACTGGATGGAAACACAGAGTTGGCCGACTGCTAGCACTCCTGACGGCGCCAAGCTCGGGGACTTGCTCTGGCTCCCCGCCGCCAGCAGCCCGATCGATCGGGGCGCGTGTCCGGGGGGGCTGGGGGCCTGGGGCCGGCCCGGCAGCCCGGGGCAGAGTTCAACCCACCTTCCAACTCTGCAAAGCCGAGCACCACATCTGACGCCTTGCCCTGCCTGTCTTTGACCTCCAGGGCCGTAATGGTGCAGCCCCAGGAGATGATGTCCACTTTCAGCAGGTCTGACTGCAGCTGGAACTTCTCCACTGTCCCTGCCCCTGAGGGCAGGTCTCCAAACACGGCTCTGGTCACCGAAGCCATGGGGAAAGCCGGGGGCGTGCAACTGCTCCCAGCCCTGGGAACTCCAGCCTCCAAAGCTGGAGCGGGAGGACTTTACTGGAGAAGAGGCGGGACCCGGCTCAGACTCCTCCCCTTCCTTGCCTGGATTTAGAGAGTGACCGCTCCTGCAAAAAAATATCCTCTGGCGACTTCCTAAATCTTTCCTTTGCCTGAGGGTGACAGGACGGCAAAACTTCCAGACAGGCTTTTCCTTTGCTAACTCTGCCTGCATTGCATGTTGGGAGTGGTAGTCTTTGGAAGGTGAAATTGCATTTTGGGGCCTGTAGTCTTTCTAAACCCAAGTCCTGAATCTGCAGGATTCTACCCCCTTCTCCGGCACGCGGTTCTCAAACAGGCAGTGAGCTAGCTGTTCATTAATGTTGGTGGCAGACTTTCAGATGAAATTCTGGAAAATGCAGAGAGCAGAATTAGAGATAGACGAATGTTGGGGTTGGGGGTGGGGGCGGAATTCTGGTTTTAAATTAACTCTTTGATCCAGAGGAGAAAGAAGTGCAGAGGTAATTTAGAGAAGGGGCAGATAAGTGCAGGCGACTCTGAACACTGACTGAAGATTCCTTCTCTTTGTCCCACACGGTGAAGCTCTGGACGTGTTTGTGCTGGAAGCTCTGCCCATGGGCTTTCTTGGCGGTGGGTCTGGAGTAGCAGCCTGGACAGAGTCAAGTGTAGATGAACTAGGGCTTAGTTACCTGGAGGTGGTCAGAGACTGCCTCTGACTTTCTTTTCCTCAGGGGTCTGGGGACTGGCCTTGAGGATCTACCCTGTCTTGTTCCTGAAGTCCAAAATTCCTTTAAGAAGGGATTAAGGGAGCGGTGCCTGGGTGGCCCAGTGGGTTATGGTCATGATTCAGGTAGAGGGATCAAGCTCCAGGCTCCCCACTCAACAGGGGAGGTGGCTTGCTTGAAGAGCAAAGAGCCCTTTGCCCCTCCTCCTATTCATGTGCTCATTTGCTTGCTCTCTCTCTCTCAAACAAATAATTTTTTTTTAAAAAAAGGGGCGATTAAGGGAATATTTATTAAGGTCCCCTTAAATGTCACATACTGTACTTTTATTATCTCTTTTCTACAAGCAGAAAAAGGCTTTAAGTATGTACTGACGGGAGAGGAAAAGACAAGCAGATCATTAAATAATCGTCATGCTTTAGAGTACCTCTGAGTTATCTGAGACACAAGAATGTGTATTTCCAGGTTCATCCCCGGAATTTCTGATTCTGGGAGTCAAGGGCAAGACTCAGGAATCTGCCCCTTTCACAGGTGTCCTAGGTTATTCTAATGCATATTACCTGGGACCAGACTTTGAGAAAGGCTGCTCAATAGTCTGATGACTAATCTCAGATTTTTTCCCCCCCAAAATAGGCTGTGATGCCATAAGACTAAGATAGAGCTCCTAAAGGCCTTAACAGGATTGTCAAATAAAATATAGGAGCCTGTGTATTTCTTTGCTAAATGTGTCAACTCTAGGCAGTACTGGTCCTAGGAAGGGGGAGGATGCTGGAAGCCGGAGGACATGTTTTATTTGACTGCCTTCATACTCCTCTTTGCTTGACACTGCTTTTGGTTTGGTTCCTAGGTACCACGGAGGGGATTCAACTAGACTGTGGTAAGCACCAAAACGCATCTATGGTCGGGCAATGAGGAGAATTGGAAACGTGTTCCTGGAATCAGACGCTAATACAACAGAACTGTCGCTCAGCCATTCCTGTCTGTAGTTTGAAGGAATATTTAACATTCTTGCCACAAGCCTCAATTCTCATTCATGAAGCATTGGGACTGTGAGAGCAAAGGAAAAAGAGAACTTGCAACAGGCCTTAGTGAAGCGTAACATGTAATAACAAAAAGACCCAAACAAGTGAAATTACAGATTGCACCATGCACACACAGTAATGGATAGCACTCTTGCATGCTGCTTCACCAGAAATTCTCATGAACTCGGCAATCCTCATCAGCCCACTTACCATTTGTGGCTGATTCATGTACAAGCCCTTTCGGCAATGCTGTGTTAGTGCGGATGTCTCAGAATCTCTTCTGTGGGCAGGAAGACTGCATTTTCTTTTCTCAGCCTACGGTTCTCAGTGTTCTGCCAAGCTCACGTTGTTGTCACAGAAAGAGAGAAATGCATCTGAATGGCCAGAGCCAAGTGTCAGTAGGAGAAGTATTGTAGCTAGGCTTGGAGGAAATGAAACATACTGTGATGTCTCTCTAAGATGTGAGGACTACATGTCTTCGGCTCATTTTCCTTTCACTTTTAAGGGCTGAACGTGGTGTCCTAAATAGGACTACCTTGTGTTAGGTCAGCTTTCAGGCACGAATCTTGACTTTTCTTACCAACATATCCTATTTTCCTAGTTCCACAGTGATAGTTTAAAGGAATATTTGTGCATTTGGAGCACCTGGCCAGCTCAGTCGGTAGAGCATGTGGCTCTTGATCTTAGGGTCATGAGTTCAAGCCCTACGCTGGGTGTGGAGCCTACTTTAAAAAAAAAAAAAAATACATATATTCAGGGAGATCTAGCTTATTTTGCAAGGTTAAGTATTTGATATAAATGATATTTCTGCATCCTTCTGCACTGTTTTTTTTCTTCCTTAACATTATAATTATGAAATTTATGCCTGAGCACCTGTGGAGTCCCTAATGCATTTATTTTCCTGTTATGTCATATTGCATTACATGGATATATACCAAAATTATTTTATCTATTTTTAAACTGACAGACTTTAGGTTGATTCCAACAATTTTTATTCTTACACATAATACTGCTATAAATATTCTTATGCCCATATGCAAAAGATCATCTAGGGTATATTCCAAGACATGTAATATACCCAGCAATAGCCCATGACATGTGCAATTTGACTTTATTAGATATTGACAAGTTGTCCTCCAAAGTGGTTTTATCAATTGCAAGTTCTACCAGCTGTGTATGAGAGATGCTTCACATCCTTTCCAGCATTGAAACATTCATTCAACAAATATTTTTTAGCAATCTACTAATCTGTTCTAGTTACTGGGATACAGCAGTGAAAGTTCTCACTCTTGTGGAGCTTCCATTTTCTTGGCAGAAGACATAATAATAAATAAACAAACAAATGACAGTATAGTAGGTCTGGAGGTGATGAGGGCCTCATTTCCAGAGTGTGCACGTGCCAAGGACTAGCTCTTCTCCTTGGGCCCTTCTTTACCTACAGTAAGTGAATGCAATGCCCTCTTGAGCCCAATGAAACCTAATCCCAGAAATTAATTTTTTAAACTTGTAATTGCCATAAAAATTAGGAGATGAACATTTTACATTGGTGTAATGTATTAGAATTTGTAGAGTGCTTTGGCATCCAGGTCCTCAGTTGACCACAATACCAGGCAGCATATAAGGAAGTGGTTACATGCTCCTATCTCTGCAAAATAAGCTAGATCTCTCTGAATTTAAGCCATTAGTCCAGGCTCATTTAGCTCGGGGGCATTGTAGTGCTAGGATTTTAATCCAGAGTACTTTCCACTACATCCTTCAGCCTCAGGTAAGCAATGATAGTCAGATATGTATTAGACCCTCATAGTGCTCTGGAAACCCCATTCATTGATCTTTCCTTAGTCTGAGTGAATGGTGTTGCTAAGGGAGTGGTTTGGGGGGATGTCTTTTCTTCCCCCTCATTTTTTGATATGAATAATAGATGGTTAATCAATTTCATGTAAAGCTGCTTCAAAACAAGTCCCTCATCCATTCCCTTTTTTTTTTAAGATTTTATTTATTTATTTGACAGAGACACAGAGAGAGAGGGAACACAAGCAGGGGGAGGGGTAAGAGGGAGAGGCAGGCTTCCTGCTGAACAGGAAGACCGATGCAGGGCTCGATCCCAGGACCCTGGGACTGTGACCTGAGCTGAAGGCAGACGCTTAATGACTGAGCCACCCAGGCGCCCTCATCTATTTCCTTTTACTTGATTGTGGCACCTACTTATAGAAATTCTAAAGCCACAACAGGGCCTGAGCACGTTCTTTGGTTTTATATAGACTGGATAAACTCTTCTGGTTGTCCTTTGTGACAGCAATAGTTTCAAGAGTCAGAACTCTTTTAATTCCACAAGTCATAAACCAACTCAAACTTGGCTTAGGCAAAAAAGGGAAATTATTAGATAACATAGTGAAAAGTCTGTGGGTGAATCTCCCTTCAGGCGTGGCTGGATCTAGGCTAAAACTATGTCAATAGAACTCGGTTCCTCTCTCCTCTTGTTCTGTTCTCCACTGTGTTGGCCCTATTTTCAGGCTGTTTTTTTCTACCTATGATTCCTAGCATCTCCAGGCTTATATTATCCCTACAGTAGCAATCTCAGGACACAGCAAGGCTCACATTCCCAGATAGTATCAACAAAAGTCCCAATGTTGAATCTCACCAGGTCTTGTGACCTGGCGCTTGGTAGGGTTGGGTCAGCCTCAGCCAGCAATGTGGACTGGGGAGCGGGAAGGGGTGATTCTCCAAGGGAAAATCTAGATGCTAGTCCCAAAGTGAGAATGGATGCTGAACAGGCGAAAACAACATTCGCCCACCAAAAAGAGTCATGGGGTAATTTCGTTAGAGCTGAACAGGCGAAAACAACATTCGCCCACCAAAAAGAGTCATGGGGTAATTTCGTTAGAGAATTGTTCAACGGGTGCACAGGGAATTCTGGCAGAGAGAATTCATGCACTTAGAATATTTGACACATCAAAATACCTGTGCCTCACAAAGAGCTGTCAACATTCTGTCGGTGGCTGTGTAGTTGGGGCTGCCACATCCTCAACCCTATTTTTCTTTTATCTTTGTCGGCTCCAGTCTCCTGACTAATGTGGTAGTGATGCAGACTTGCTTGAACCTTTCTCAACATCTTCAATTACCCTGCTGTTTTTCAAAGGACAAGAGCTGCCAACGTTCAAGAAAGAATGTTAGCTCGGATTCAGCCTCGCCTGAAGCACGTTCACCCCCGCCTTGTCTGAGATCAAGGCAGATCCGGGTTCATCTGGATTCCCTTCCTCATAATATGGAATTCTATATCAAAAAGCGTGGCTGAATACTAAGTCTTGGCAGAAAGTAACACTCAAGCATTTAAAACATTTAAAGCTTATCTGACTCACATCAATGTGGGGAATTTGCTCTTGTGATTTTGCCAGCCTGATTGTTCTCTTTTTCCCTAAAAACAGTCTAGAGGTAGGTAT